ATAATTTGGATATATCAACAAAGTTGAAATGGTAAATTGGCCACCGTAACGATTTCAAAAGCTGACGTTTCGAGCGTTAGCCCTTCGTCGGAGCGAAAGTAATCGTTGTAATCGTTACGGTGGCCAATTTACCATTTCAACTTTGTTGATATATCCAAATTATTTCGTTACCTCCACCGACGCAGCCCCAAACAGTTTCTTTAGAAACTATCAGCCTTTATTCATTTGTATTCCCAGGAGTCTTGTAACATTTATACGTTCCAGTGGTTTACCGGAGATTTCTAATTCCAACTCCAGATTTCCGAGAGAATGTATGTGAGCCATCTGTGGAGTTAAGATAAGAATGGCCTTGGTTTTCTTAGAATTCAGGGCCAGGTTTGAATCATTTGACCAGGCGCCGAGGCCTGCCAGGGTTGCATTCATGCTTTCCGCTTGAGATGTGATCAGTAGTGTAGAACAGCTAATGTTGTATCGTCGGCATATTGGAAACTTTTGATTGTAGGTGGAAGAATATCTTGAAGATCCGCGACGTAGAGATTGAACAACATCGGTCCAAGGCTTGAGCCTTGGGGGATTCCAAATTCGGAGAGCACGGGTGACGATTTGCGATCACCAATTTGAACGTAATGTCTCCTGCCGCATAGGTAATTAGCCAGCCATTCGAGGACATACTTTGAAAAACCGAGGTGATGCAACTTGGTTATCACCGTTTTAAAACAAAAGGTATCAACTGCTTTCGAAAAGTCTGCCAGTACCATAAGAGTTACCTCTTTCCTTTTCATGGCACTAAATAGGTCGTCCCTTATACCTAAGAGTACCGTAGAGGTCGAATGTCCCTTACGAAAGCTCGAGATGGTGTCTTTAAGGAGAGATTCTCTAGTGCAGAAATCAGTCATTTGAGAAGCAACAAGCTTCTCAAATACCTTACAAAGTACGGGAAGAATCGACACTGGACGCAAGTGATCTTCCGAGACAGGTGTGTCAACGTTTGGAATGGGGCTGATACGCGCGAGTTTCCAGGCATGTGGGAAGTACAGCTTTGAAATACGGTTATTGATGATAGTTGTGAGTGAGCTGGCCAAGTATCTAGCAACCAGCTTTACGAACCGGGCAGGCAGTTGGTCGGGTCCAGTCGAACAGTCAGTGCGCAGTTGTTTAAGGGTTAGCGGGCCTTCTCTTTGTGTAGCACTTTCCAGGTGAAAGGCGCCCTCTTTATCCGTAAGACCGCGGATGAACTGGAAGAGTTCATCTTGGTTGGTCGATTCAACATCAAGCGTTCTCCTTGCGGTAGCAAAATGAAGATTAAGCTTGTCTGGGTCGAACCTTAAAGACTGTTGGCAGGGGTGGAGTACGCGGTGAACCATGCGCCAGACTTCCTTAGATTTGTTGGACGGCAAAGCCTTTTCCATGAAAGCTTTACGAGCTTTGTGTATAGCGCTCTTCATTTTATTTCGCAATTGCCGGAAAGCAGACCAAGAAGATTCTGAATTTGACTGATGCGCTTCTCGCCTCAGTTTGTCTCTTTGTGACTGGAGGTTATGAATTGTTTCGTTATCCATCCCCGGGGCGGGAGGACGTGTCACACAGCACCTTCTGAGGGGTGCGTTCCTTTCAAGGCAGTCGTTAAACACGCTGTTGAGAGTCTCTAATTGATCGCCAGGGTCATCAGTTGATGTTATTACCGAAAACGGTAGGGCGGAGAAGTCCTCCAAAAAAAGCTGTCTCATTTAAGTTCTTCAGGTTTCTGATGTACTGTTTCTTTGCTGTTAACGAGCTACGCGGATGTTTACACACGCGAAGGGGCCATCGTGATCACTCACAATACTGCACGGTTCACACCATGAGATGTTATTTTGGATGGATCATTGATAATAATGTGATCCAGTAAGGTTCGTGATGATCTTGTTGTTCTTGTACGTTTGTCAATGATTTGTTTGACATTAAGGGTGTCAAGTAGGGAAATATATCGCCACCTTGGGGCGTCCGGTATGCCCAATAGATCGAAATTCATGTCGCCTGTAAGAACGAGAAGACCATCCCACTGCGCAATAATGCAACCGTTGAGATCTTCGAACTTGTCCAGCCATGCCGAAGGTCTGTGCATGGCTTCTGACCGGTAAAAATTCCCCAGCAAAAGTTTACTGGGCTTGTTCTTTCCTTGAATTTCTAGCCAGAGGTGTTCTATGTCAGCTTGGGTGTTCTCAATGTCCTTTCGTCGCTTGTATTTGATATTGTCTCGAATATAAGCCCCCACCCCACCGCCCTTGACATTGTCCCGATTCCGAAATTCCTTTGAGAAACCAGGGAGTGAGACATATTCTAGTCGATCCTTATTGCTCTTCATCCAGGTCTCACTTAGAGTTATGACATCAAGGGGGTATTTGTTGACTGTCAAAGCGAATTCATTAAATGTCGAAAGCATACTTTGCGTATTCAAGTGCATCAACTTCAGCCGGCTGGATTTATCGATCAAAGACTCTAATATCTCATCATTAGCTTG